TTTTTAAGGAAATTAAGTTTCAAAGGAACACAAATATATCTGTAATTAAGATCACTGCTATAAGATTAATACAAAAGATAGCACACATATAACTGCAGATATCACCAAGTCTCAAAGTACGAGAGAAAAAATGCAGCAATAACYGAGTACTGTGGCCAAAAAAAGCTTCAGGGTGTGAAGTCTTAAAGGACATAATCTCCCTTCTCATGCTCCCCAATCCCTTCCATGGTCAGTGCACTCCCTTCTGCACCTCTCAGCTAGGTTTCACCCTGGTCCGAAGTACAGAGATTTGACAAGTAAGTGCTGAATATCAAGTCTATGATGATGCAACAGAGCGGTCAGTTCCCTGTGATGGGACGCACATTGATGCAGGAAACTKCTGTGCTCCAAATGCAACCGGGTAACTCACGGGCACAGGAAAATAGCACGCTCTAGTGGAGAAATTATTAATAGCTACTAGAAAATAAATCACTGCTGTGTTGTGCAAGTGCTGCCTGTTAAGGCAGTTGCATCTCTGTGCCTCTGTTCAGTTTTTCTGCTTTCTCTACACATCTCTAGCCACTTATTGCATTCTCTGCCTCTTATGCAAGGGAATAAAATATAGGTGAAAAGAAGCTTATCGAGCCATACCTGTGCCCAAGATTTCCATGTCCCTGGCCTCGCTGAGATTTTCTTAGTAGAGACTCTATCTTGACTCCTAGTTAAATAATTCAGGAAAAAAAAATCTTTTTCTTTTTCCCCTTGTATTTTTCACATGCTTTCAACACAGGTTTAAAGTAGCCTGGTTGTATGTGCTTGGCACAGCACAGGTGTGTGCCAGGTGCCCGCTCCCCAACATGCCCTCAATAGAGCTCAGGGGCTGGTTGCATGGGTGCATGAAGGATGAATGCATCAATTAGCGTGAGGGCAAGGAGCCCATAAGCTTGGAGACTGGGGGAGTCCTTTCTTCCCACTGGCACTGAGTGGAAGATGCCATTAACATGGAGAAYTCATTGCTAGCTAAATCCTAACAGTTGTAATCATTAATGAAACAGATGATACAGCACTTAAATCCCCAACTCTGATTGGAACAAGTTAATCACAGCTCACTGCTCAGACCTGTTAATTCTGTGTACATGCAAATGTTTCCCGTTCCTTTGCTTATCACTGGAAATAAGACACATTGCTCCAGATTCATTTACTTATGTGTGTTGCATCTCCCCACGTGGCTGTAAAAGCCCAGGCCTGTAGGCCAGACTTGCAAAGCATGATGACCAGTGAATGTCCCCTGGCTCTGGAGGAGCTTCCACTGAGGGAGCTCCCACTGAAGGRATGACATATGTTTGGGGAAGGAGGTGATGTGCTGACACAAGGATGGGAGCAAACACAGCCACAGCAACACAGCGACTACTCATTGGCATCACTGTTAGAAATAAGGACTTAAGAAAACATCCCAGCTCCTACAGTTGATCTTCTACTACAGATTTCAATAGTAAATCAGAAGCAGCTAAGCAGCTTCTGCAACAGCATGTAAACCACCTCACCTGCACTCCTTCTGAAGAAACTCCTTTTTTTTAAAAAAAAGTTTTCATTGAGTCATGTATTTCCTGCCACTGGTAAGTGGGGTTCATTTGTTGGGTTTAATTGCTGTTCTGAAAGTGAGTCATCAAAGGRGTCCATGCTATAAACCAAAGTCATACTGTTCCCCTGTGAGTACTTTGTGTCTTCAGGTGATGGTATAGGAAAAGCCTTTTGCCCAATTGCTGTGGTTGTTCCTTCTGTCTGGATGCTTCTACTGCTGCTGTTGGCCCCAATAATATTTTATCTGTAATTTTTATGTAATTACTTTGCTGACAAAATCATTTCAGACCTGGAAGTTGCATTTCAGTGCATTTCTTGTGACAGGACATGAAGTACATGTCTAGTACAAAGTAATTTTCTAGGGCAAGCTGCCAGTGTTATTTTGCTTTGCTGGGGCTTTACTCTGGGAGGGGGGAAGGATTTGTAAACATAATTGTCATGGTTTTCTTGATGGGGAAGTGCATTGGAAGACAGGAGGAGAGAGAAAGCTTCATTACACTGTTATGTGACAAAGGAGGTCCTAGAGCTTGAAATCCCAGAATCACAGATTGTTCAAGGTTGGAAGGGACCTCTAGAGATCATCTAGTCCAACCTTCCCGCTCAAGCAGGCACACCTAGAGCATGTGGCACAGGGTGGCATCCAGGCGGGTTTTGAAGACCTCCAGAGAAGGAGACTTCACAGCCTCCCTCGGCAGTCTGTTCCAGGGCTCTGACACTCTCACAGGAAAGAAGTTCCTCCTCACCTGGAGAAGGAACTTCCTGYGTTTCAACTTACAAACCATTTCCCCTTGTCCTGTCACTGGCCACCACTGAGAAGAGTCTGACCTCTTCCTCCCCACATTCCCTCTTCATGAACTTATAGACGTTAATCAAATCCCTTCTCAGCCTTCTCTTCTCTAAGCTAAATAGGCCCAACTCACTCAGTCTCTCCTCATACGAGAGATGTTCCAGTCCCTTAATCATCTTTATTGCTCTCCCCTGGACCCTCACTAGAAGCTCCACAAAATCTGAGAAGATGAAGCATGGACATATATAAACAATTTTGACTGGATTACAATAAAAAATTTATTTTGATTCATATCAKACTGAAAACTTAAATAAATAAAATGTCGAAGAATGATTGAGTGAGACTCCTCACAATCAGAGCAAAGAAATGATTATCATAATCAACCATGTAGTCAAAGAAAAACACAAAGAAAATCTAGTTATGGGGAAAAAAAGTGCTCAAAAGAATTGGCTTTGGTTAAAAACACAACATACTCCAAGACTGTCTTAGTGACTTTGCAGCGGTGGCAAATACAGTTCAAGAGTTTGAAGCCTTGGCAGGTTGTCTTTTTCCTTTGTTTTTCTTTCAAAAAAAAAAAAATCCAGAGTTCCTAGCAGGAAAGCAGAAARTCCTCAATTCTGGCAGTGGGAATGAATTGTTCCTCCAGTATCATCTGTTGGTATCTTTTCATTCTGAAGGATTTAGATTGAGCAGAGAAATTGTGGATACTGTAAGAAATRATCTAACATGACAACAGTTAGTTGCCTAAAAAACTTTAGTAAAYGTTCTTCTAGAATAGAAATGTGATGGCATAAACTATTCCTCATCCTACTTATTGTCAGGTCCACTTTCTGCTCTCTTTATATTCTGAAAAATGGCATAAGTGGAGCACGGTTACTGCTTGCAGGAAAATTAAATAGGAATTACAGCTTGTCCCATGATAGAAGATGCTAAACCTGACCAGTACTGCATGAGCCAAGATATTGTGTACATACTGTCAGGCACAGAATGTTTAGATAAAAATTGGAAATTTAACTTGGACTGCAGAAGGATACTTTCAAAAAAATACAACCAGAATTTAGYGGACCTTTGATCATTTTTCTCAATCCCAAATGCCAATCTGTGATAAAAAATCAAGAGGAACTGAGTACCAAGCCACCATGCATGTTCTTCCAAGTCTTACTGAAAATGAAGAACAAGGTAATGAAATGTTTCTGAATTACTGGCATCCCTCTATTAGAAAAGAAATTAAAGCATCTGAAGTGCTCATCTATTTCCAAAATTCGACCACAGGGTGAGGATACTGCTGGCATCTTCCATGGAGTCTTTTATTATCTGAATAGAGCTTTGCTTGAAACCTATTTATTATTTTCTCACCAGAAACATGTTGATTTACAATGATTTCAGCACTGGGAACGTGCAAAACAAYGAAACAAGTATGATTAAGGTAGAAAAATGATATTCTTTTACAAAGGGTCTTTAGCAGGTAAGAAGTTTGTTGAATTTTCTCCTCTTGCAACATGCAAGTGAGTAGTTCTGTCACCCACCATGCTAGGAAAGGATTTCTTGACATAAGGATCATGAAGGGGTCTCTGGAAGAAGGCTGGAGAATCCTGCCCTTTCTATATTGCTAAACTGAAATGTTASATGTGTGCAGCACGGGAGCTCGGTTCCTTGTACAGAAGTTTGGCGTCTTTGGCTCTTCATATGGTCTAAGTCCCATACAAATACTTGTGGGTAAAGAAACTGCTGGCAAGTGGTGCTGAGGCTGGAAACAGGTAGACTCGCACAGGAAATGGGTCAATAATCGCTGAATCCTATTATTCTAATATTAAAAAAAAAACCAAACAGCTCCCCATGATCCATCATCTGCACTTTGCTCTTGGCCATACTTATTAGAGAATCAAATGCATTGATTCTACCAAAATCTCAGGATATAAAATCTCCAYTGTCACTTCCCTTCTCCCACTGCCTGCAGGTACTGACATTAATATACTCATACCTCCAGAGATGCAAATAATTTGGAAATCTAGCTTGCACTGTAGAATCAGCATGCATTGAGTGTGTTCTTGTAGATGCTACAGTACTAAGTATTCCWGTTATATAACTATTTTATATCGCCACCCATGAAATTTCTTCTTCCATTTCAAACAGATTTGTAAAGAGATAGCGCTTTCTAAATTTGTAGAAAAATAAGAGGAAAAAATTCCTTGGAACTTTTGGGGACTTTCCCATAAAAAAAGGTAAAAGTTACCTTTAAAAATTAGCCTTGTTTGCATTTGTTCAAGTACAATATAGGAACGGTTATCATTAGTTTTCACTACAAAATATACCACATGGAGGATAAGCTTTGGTTATTTTCTCCCCCTTTTATAAAAAAGTTTAATTTAGGGTTTGTCATCTTAAAAAAAAAATACATCTGTTGCACAATTATAAAAGGCACATGTAAACGACTGAAAAAAAAGTCCACTTCCCAACCTTAAACTGGATTGATTAAATAAAAATCAGCATTCTAGAGTATTTTCCACAAAAAAAAAAAAAAAGACAAAAGAAACAAGTAGTTAAAAAGGTCTTTTTTTTTTTTCTTTTTTTTTTNTTTTTTTTTTTTTTTTTTTTTTTTTGCTGGAGTTTTCAGTACTGTTTTCTCCTCTCATTATGGCTGTATAGGAAGCAATATTAATTAATGCATGATCAGAGATGATTCAATTCATATTTTCAGATCCTATCAATGCAGACTGAGGCACCAGAAGGAAGAGTTACTACTCCAGGCAACGTCATCACATTCTTGCTTAATACAGCATGAATCCAGAAGTAATAGAGAAAAYTGAAGAGATGGTTCAAAAAGAAGATCAACAGCAGAAGTGAAATCATTTCTTTGAGGTAATCCTTACTATGATGTTCACAGCTACCCTAGTGGGTGTCAAATCGCAGAAGCTGCTTTTTATTTTTCTTCAACAACTTCCTGCCTTACTCAAGGAAAGAATGGACGCTCAAATAGCAGTTCATGTATCCAGGTTTCCCTCAATTGTAACAGGCGGATTTTTCGTCAGTAATTCAGGAAATAAGCTGTAGAGCCTAAGCAGTGATTCTGCATGTCATTTATCCCCACAACTGACTGTGAGGTCCCAGCCATCTGTAGAAGGAAATCAGGTGCAGCCAGGGGCCCTGTCTTTGGACGAGCTCTGTGCAGTGATCACTGCAGCAGTGCAGACACACCAAATCCACCGCAGATTCAGACACTTAAACCTGGTTGGCTTCCAGATCTTCTTCACTAAATTCTGTCCTGCTGCATGCTGGAAATTGCAGTCCCCATTTCTCCCCACGATAAAGGTCATCTGCCCTTAAAAAAATTTATTTTTTCAATGGATGCAAGAGTCAATGTTATATTGAACTCAAAATCCCCATCATGGACACCTGTTTGCCGGAAAGCCCCCGCTGAAGGGTTGTTTTCCCAGTAGTGATGCCAGTGTCCCCTGCTGTCTGCTCCAAAGCCGTACACATTTACCTAGGAAGTGAGAGAGAATTATTAAAGAAAGAAATGGCTTAAAGAAATATTGAAGAAACTCTCAACTTATCTACAGCCAGTCTTACCTCAGTGGTGAGTTAAACTGTTCCACTCCACTTGGTGATAAAACCACAGAGTAATGAGCTCAAGCCTGCCCAAAGGGCATCCTAAGTCATTCTGAGACCATCACCTGAACCCAGACAGAAGAGGAAATTTCTATCTGTGACCATTTCTATTCTTTACTATTACAGGAAACACATGATCCTGTCCCCTATGGATGATGTCTGATCTCAAGAGGTCAGGGTCTTAGGAGGACAACCTCCTCTTCCGTTGATTATGGCCATAAAGAGTGAAAGTATATTTGCTCTTGCTCTAAATTTTAAAACAACAGCCTCTGTGGAGCCACTTTTAGGTGCTTAATTACATGACATCTACAGTCACTTCTGTGAGAGGCAGAGCAGTGCTATGCTCTTTCTGTGGGTATACATCCATGGCCTCTCCTCTCCCAGCTGTTCATTCATTGATGGCTAGGCCTGTCTCTTCAGGTGATAAAAGCGAAAAAACCTCAGCTGACTTTATTTAAAGAGAAAGTGGCAACACGACTATGTCAGGATGGGTCATGGAGCACCCCAACCCACCCACACTTGGGTCCACCCAAATACCAGCTGGCTTCAAATTATTTTTGGTAGTGTCAAAGCCTTTCTCACTGCCCACTCAACAGAAACCAGAGGCTCCACCCAAGCTGCCCTTTCTTTCTGCTTTGATTGTTGCAGTTTCTGCCAGCATAATTTGGAGTTTAACCACTGGCATGATGCCATCACCTCTCCATAGGCCATGATGACAAAACCTCTCTGCCATCAGCGGAGCTGTCTCCAGGCCAGGGATTTTGCCAGCATAATGATTTTATCACTTTTGCTAATAGGTTTTTATAGAGCTGACCTGGCCTTATGCTATCTAGCTAAGATTGATCAYCTGGGAGCACCTCACATCCCTGAACCTGGGAAATCCTTCAAGTAACTCCTGGAGTGTAGGTTTTACCATAACGTGCTGTATAAACTAAAAGGAATTTTAGTCCTTTTGGGACTATGGGCCATAGTCATTTCCAAAAAGAGTTGTTAACCAATTTTCTTTGGGTGGGATTAAGTTTAGGGGTTTGTTACCCTGATGGAAGTTATCCAGATGGATTGAGCACCCTCCAGAAAAGGATGTTGTTCCCCTAATGTGTCACCCAGGGTTGGTTTGGTTTGCTGAATCAGTCCCTCAGCTCCACAGACTTTATTGATATCATCTCAACACAACTGCCCAGATATAAACATCATTTGAGATGCCCTGGGGTATTCATGACATCTACCCCAGGTAGACAGATGTCACACAAGACCAAGAGACCCACAGCCTTCTGGCCATGCATCTGGAGGCAGATGGCAAGCTCAGGACAACACTTGCATGTCTTCATGTCAAATGTAATTCTGCCCTTTAYATTTAGCTGTATTTCTCTGAAATACATCTTAAGTGTAACTGACAAAGAATAAATCATGGATTGCTAAACACATCTGCATGTTACTGACAGCTCTGCAAGCTGTCTTAAGAAGCAGATGGTAGAGAACATGCACAAATAAAGAATGAATGAGGGCATAATCCCTGCCCATGCACAAATAAAGAATGACTCGGGCATAATCCAGGTATCCCAGGAATAAACACATCCTATTGTGCTAGCTACATATCCAAGCCCAGCCAGCCTTTACCTCATCGCATACATGGAGTGCAAAAATCAGCGACAGAAGGCCGGTGGAAGGGTATCTTCCATGGTGCTGCAGCCAGTTTTCATAGACATACTTGATAAAAGCTGGGTTATAAACAAAGATCTAGGAAAAAAGTAATGAGCTCATTAATAAAATGCCTTGGAGAAACAAAACATGACACAACACAACTGTAACAGTTAATCCCTAATGGACACCAGGATGAGAATGGGGAGAAAGGAATGATAGCTCTTCCCTGACAGCTGGTGCAAGGGAAATATAAAATCACATAKTTAAATGTACTCAGATACATTTTCCATGTGAAAATATACAAAATTACTCCTCTTTAGGACTTTGGTACCCTTTGACACTCTTCCTGCTTACATTGGTGTGAATCCTGTGTGATCCCAATTTAAATCAATGGGTATGAGGTGGCACAAGTGAGAAAAATAGGTATTCAGTTTTTCCTGCCGCTGTGAAAAGCAGCAGCCMGAGCTGTAGCTCTGCATCCTGCTGCAAAAAGAGCAGGCTATGGGGAATCTGAGGCTTGGGGAAGGAAGTGTAAAATGACAAAGTCAGATTTGGGTGAGAATGTAGGAGCAATATCCCAGTCATATCTTGGTTTCTCTATAGGGACAGGTCTAGAGGAACCTCGASTTCAGGTATGAACTACATCAGGTTGTGTCTTCTCTTCTGTGTCTGCMCTTCTCTTTCCCAAGCACATTCTTTTTCCAGACCTTATTTTCTGCAAGACATACATCACACCTGATTATCTTGTGGGGAAATTATGGGACTGTGAACAGTGAATCCAATAACCGGTGGGAACTCCGGGTTTCAGACCCCTTCCCTGAGCCAGGCAAGGAGAGGCTTTGCCTTTCCACGCTGAGTCTGTAATTAGAGTGGCAGTGCATGAGCACTGTCTGGTTAGCTGCAGGGCTTTCCTTTCTATGAAGTCAGAGGTTAATTGATGATATTGTATCTGCGTGTAATCACTTTTMACGGGGCGATTTGAGCTGCATAGCGTGGGAGGATGTGCGAGCAGGCGGTCTCCCTGGCTGGGATGTTGCTCCATACTGCTGGCGCTAGTGGCTAAAGGTGACACGAGTTTAACAGTGCACTGGAGGGCATTTCACATGGCTTGGTTAATGTGGGTGAATGTGTCCCTCACAACAGGTAGGATCCAGACAAGTGATTATTTTATATCCCATAGAAGTCCTTAAAGGAGGTGCGGGGATATYAAGTGATACTAGTTGAAAAGTCTCATGTGAAGTCTCTGGAAAAGCCCGGCCAACAAAGTGATGGACACACGCCTTGATTAGAAAATGCAGCTTTCAGGCATATATTTACAAATAGGCTGCATTTTTAGCAGTCAGGGAGCTACCTATCTGCTATTTCTTGAATGTACCACATTTCTGGCATGGGAGACTATCCATGCTCTTGGAACAAAATAGTATCAGGAACTGCACTCTCAAACCCATTAAAGACTTGGCTTAATCCAGTCCTCAGTATTGTTTAGTTTGGTGCAGATAGTTGTACATTTGTGGGCAGCGGGCCTTCTCCAAGATCCACTGAAGCCATCACAAGCTTCCACTGACTTGAAAATACATATCCAGTGCTCACTTACATCTTTATTGTAAGGATGTAACCCAAGAGCAAGAAGCATGCTTGGAGTTCAGACAGTCAATTTTTTTTTAAAATACCTCCAAAAACATTCCACAGCTCAAAATACCAGTACATCCCAGTGGCGGCAGCAGTGAGCACTGCCAGCCAGCAGAACGCCTGCTCTCTCCCGCAGTGATACCAGGGGGAGTAATTCAACTTTCAGCAATAACATAGTCACAGGAGCTGTTTCTTCCCAAGCTCAGCTATTTAGTGGCAGAATTATGGCCCGAGTGGCACACCAGGAAATGACCTTCTAGTATAGCTAAGCCTTGTCAAGAATGTGTGTGTTTTTGTTTGCCTTTCTCATGAATGTGAAAGACTCCCCTGGATTCTTGCAGTCTCCCAAAGAGCCAAAAGATTTACAGCTGAATCAGCAGAGCAAATTACCAGACCTGCACGGCTCACCTTCTCTTTTTTGACTTTGATTTTCCTTGGAACTGGAACATACGTGCTGTTAAAAGAAGACAATAAAACAAAACAAAACCACTTGGATTACTGAAAGCGCACCATATTATTATTTTCAGGTTTTTCGAAAAGCCAATATCACACAGAGTCCAAGACTTTTTGAAAAACTTGAAAATTTAATTTCAGAATTAAAGTATTTTTCATGTTGAATCATATTCCCAAATGACTGGAAATCCCTGCATCAGACAGTTTGTTGTAAAATGAGGCTGCAATTAAATATTGAGAAGATAAAATGAGCTGAGCTTTCACTAAGGCAAAGTTTATAAAGATTTTTTTTTGTAATTTTAAGGGTGATTATTGACAGCAGGACATCATGAGTTTAGTTGGCAATATATTATGTAGCCAATATCACACAGAGCCTGACTTTAATTCGGAAATCACCTAAGTTGCAGCAAGTCTACTATTTGTACTTAAACACAGGAATGTCTTTCAGTTTAATTCTATGTCAGAATTCTTTTTTTTTCCCACCAGAGGGAGACTTTTCCCCTTTCAATACTTGTGGTTGACACATGATTTTCAGAGTAGGTGGTAGCAGAGCTGATTTCTGCGCTCCTGTGCAAACATCCCCAGCCTATGGCCCCTCACCAGCAAGCTGTGCCCACCCGTCCTGCACGATGGGAAGCAGAAGGCTGCCAACAGCTCCTACCAAGACAAGCCTTATAACTGGGTTTAAATCATGAGACATATCTTGCAAACAAAAAGGCTGTTCTCTGCCATGTCCCATTCACAATGTACGCTGGCACTGCATGGCTAATCACATGTGTAGCATGTGAAAACTGCCCTGAGTTTGTTTTAAGTACAAAAATACTAGTGACCTGGCCTCATTGCTGGAATACGTCCTCAGATGTATTCTGCAAGCTCTCTAGACAGGTCTTTAATTCATATGGGCAACCAGCAGAGCCTTACATTAGTTCAATCTAAATATTTACGCTCAGTTTTTGGTAATAAGAAGGAACCTGTCATTGAGATCTAATACACTCCCAAAACAGTGATGATCCAGCACGATCCTTGTTTCCTCTGAAACCTGCATCCCTGAAAATGCAATGTTTCTGCATCCCTGAAAATGCAATCCCTGCTCTGGGCTGGGTGAGGTGGGAAAGGTGATGTGGGTATCCTGGTCCTCGGGATGTGAGACGGGACACACTTTAGGGTGGGCAGCACTAATGTGAAAGGGAGGCAAGGAGGGACCACCTTCAGACCTCTCCTTTTGCCATTTGCCCTCAGTAAATCTGCTCTTGCATCTACTTCTCATGTGTGACCAGGAGTAGCAAAGTTGGCAGAAACAGGCTTGGTGATCACATATCCTTCTTGTGATTATGAAGACAAAAGAGGTTTTTTTTTTTTTTTTTTTCCTGGCAGAATCTTATCACTACCTTAAAAATAAACAGCCAGTCTTTCYGAAAAAGGAGGAAATACAGATAGGTCTAATCCAACAAAGAAAGTTCTGTGACTTTGGTCAGATAATATGTTAGTCATTTTAATCCTTTTTTCTTTTCTTCCCCAGAAGCAATACCCAAATCCTGCTGTTGCTTAGTTGTTGGATTTTGTACAACTGCGTAAAAAGTATTGGCACGTTGCTTAAGACCAAGTGGAGAGCTACAACATTAATGTCATATAAAACCTGGGGTAGACAGCAGTCAGGGAGCTAGTACCACACCAGAGAGGCACATGGAGCGAAGCCTGTGATGAAGGTGGATGAAGGTGGAATTCATATAATCTGGGAAAAGTCTCCAATGAGTCACTTGGCAGGGCTCTAGCAAAGTCTGCCAACCTTATTGGCCGCTTTGCAGAGGACATCTACTATACCCTTAATGAAGGACAAAGACGTGAAGCACTTTAAGGAAGACAAAAACTGCTCTTTGGCAAAACAAGTGGAAATATTTTTTTCCCACTACATGCTTCCTAGCAGACTTGCAGAATCTCCCTGCCAAGGAAACCAGATTGAATATACAAGTGATGAGGGCCTGAAGATTTTTTTTTTTTCTCACAGGCTTTCCTCAGGAATTCCCTGGGACAATGCTCAAAAGAATCACATTTAAATGAGAGACCCCCTCAACCAAATGGGAGATGGGTCTGATGGGTTTTAATTTTATTTGATCTCCTCTCTCCTTTACAAATGTATACAGCAATTTCCTTGTACAATATTGTACATGTCATTGTGTTCACTTATCGCATGCTCATTGGTTTAGTCTATTAGTCTAAAATTATGTTAAATGTATTGTTATGATTAGTGTGTCTGTGATTTTCTGTTTTTATTACTCCAACATGAGCCAGCTTACTATTTATGCAATTTCCCTACTTTGAGCTCAGCARAAGTCTTAAAATACTAATATTTATTCCAGTCAAATACTTACACAATAATTTAGAACAGATATTCAACAAACCCACACGACAGCGCCTAATTACAAATGCTAACCCTGTATCTTATTAAACAAAAATGTTTTCCCTGTGTGTGCTGATCTCTATTCTCATGATCACCTTGTAGGCAACTAGTCGTGTCTTCTATCTGAGCTAAGGGCTTGCTCAGCTTTCCTACTGMAACCTGCTTGCTCCAACTTTTGAAGCAAAGTGCTCACAAAATGTGGCAAATGGCTTTGCGCAGAAGACTGACAGTGACCAAAACAYGGATGGGTGGTCATAGCTGCAGGAACCCTCAGCGGCTCCTCTTCCCAGCATGTGTAGGAGGCCATGCCATGGGCATTGGGGCTGTGAGAGTTCTCTAAAAGGCTGTTGTGGCTGAAATGGGCTTGGGACACTGCTCTAACATGAAAGGTGGATCGCTTGAAGGATCACTTGCACCATCATGCATTAACTGGTGCAGGAGCTTGCATGTAACAGATTTGCACCCCTGAAAGTTTGACCCTTCCAGCCAGATTGCATCTCTTTATCATGCAGCCAGAAACTGCCTGAAGGGAGGTTGTAGTGAGGTGGTCGTTGATCTCTCTCCAAAATAATTGCTGATAGGGGAGTGGGAAATAGCCTCAAGTTGCATGAGGGGAAGTTCAGGTTAGACATTAAGAAAAATTTCTACACAGAAAGAGTGGTGAAGCATTGGAACAGGCTGCCCAAGGAAATGCTGGAGTCATCATCCTTAGCAGTTTTCAAGAAACATGTAGATAACACACTTAGGAACATGATTTAACAGGCATGGTATTGAAGGCCTTATGGGTGGACTCAATGATCTTGATGGTCTTTTCCTGCTATAAAGATTCTATGATTTTAAGTGATTCCTGCTGAATCACTTAAACCACCAAGATTTAAACCTTGTTGAAAATGTTTGCAGGACTGATGGTGTTTCCAAAGCACTGTAATACATGGATACATGGAAACTATCAACCAATGCATAACAGCAGATAATTGACTCCTCGCTCAACATTCCTTGCTAACAAAGCAGATTAAGGAATACCATTATGTTCTCTGGCAATTAGAATAAAGCTGCAGATGAAGGGACAACCTATTCATACGAGGCAGAAGCTCAGGTAACTCAAGAGACTCTACTCACTGACTGGCCAAAGACATAGCAAGGAACTTGATTCAAAGCCCGTTTAAGGCAAGTAGCAGCTTCTCATTAATTTGGTTAGGTTTTGGAGACAGGTTTAAGGGCAAAGCTCCTCAGTCACTTTTATCAATACAGCTTGCTAAAGAAAAATCGTAAGCCTGTCAAAAAAGGTCAGTGGTATTTTTTTAGCTGACTTTCTAAGTGGACTGATTTTTCTGCATTTTAAACTTGCCTAAAGATGGATTTCTTAAGACAAGTGGATATACCAAGCGCTGATGAAAAAAAAAAAAAAAAAAAAAAGAACTTAAAACATATTTATTGCAATTTAGGAGAATCTTAATAGACTTAGATTTGAAAAGGTTCTAAAGTGTTTTTGTAAAAAGAAGAAGGAATAAAAGTCCATTGTTTGTGCCATCAGATTTTTTTTTCTTAAAAATGCAAAGCAAGTCTAATCATCAGTCCAAAGGGACATATTTTTGCAAGTTTTTAATCTTCTGGGACTTTGAAACTAGGGGAAAAAAGTTGAAATGTTTTGAAATACTTTTCTCTGAAATAAAATAGTCTGATATGCTGCTGCTATATACGAATAGCAGGAAGTAGGACACTCCTGAGCAGTTCCATGAGGTTACGGCTTTACAAACAGCAGATAACCTCATAAAGAGTACAAATGTCAAAAATTTCATTTTCTGGATTAGGGAAAGCCAGCTTACAGGAAGAGAGAGAATCTGCTAGTGGGTGCCAGAAGAAACATGCGTTTTGCTACTATTTCTAATTCAAATGCTGCCATAAATGTATTAGCAGGACAGTGTTTTGTCCCAAAACGCTCATAAAGAAGAAATAGGGAATAAGTATCAGAGTRGTACATTATTGCCAAGTAAAATGTGACAAATTGAGGCTAAGGTACACAAGAGGTACATAAAGCAAGGATATCTCCTGCACATGCTAACTCTTGCAGCTGCTCACTTATCGCTCCAGGCAGCAGCGCTCTCCTTTGTCAGGTAGGACAGCACAGGTCCAGGGCTTTCACCTGTCTCAGCTCAGGCTAGTATAGAGACCATGGAAAGAATGGGAAAAAGGAAGAGGAAAAAGTCAGCACTGCAGCCCTCCATTTGTCATTTGACTGTCCTCACCTTCCCTCACTTTCTCCCTGCTCCGATTTCCTTATTTTAGGAAAAAGAAGTCTTGCTTTCTCAGCAATTTGGGGCAAAGCTTTGAGCAAACATATGGAATGCTGTTTATGATGTTTGCTCCACGCAGACCATGGTCTCTCTGTCCTTCCTCCTCAGAGGCAAACCATGCTGGCTGGCCTGGCTTCTTCCCTCCCACATTTCTCTATCACAAGCTCTCAGGAGGAAACCCTGCTTTTCCCAGGAAGGGTGGAGGTAGTGCTACTCCTCCTGCATCTGGCTGCCTGGAAAGCACCCAAATAACGTAGGCTACGGCTTACAAGTGTTTCATCTTCCCACTCTCTTCATCTCTGCTGCGACTTGTCCTGAATGCTGCCTTGGTCACTCATTCCTCAAGTTGGCCATTAGCCACAGAACTAATCCAGCTCCATCTCCAAAGCACGTTTCCTCCTGCACATTTAAGCTCTGGGTTGGTGCCAGAGCACCTGAATGAGAGACAATTTCCCACCAGGAAATTAAAATTATACAAGATGGATAACTCCATCGCTGGCTTTGCTCTTTGAAGCAGACAGAAGAGAAAGGATGAGAGGTTAGGCCTGATAGGGGGAAGAGAAAGGCTTTAAAGGGGCTATCCAGCCTGAGAACAATTCTCAGGTTAATACTTATCTTTTATTAGCACTGCATCCAGCAAGAAAAATARTATGCTGGTACAGAGCGAGCTCTCTGGTAGATGGCTGTGGCTCTAGCCAGAGAGACACTGCAAGTGTGAAGCCCTCAGAGRGCTCCTGAAGAGACAAGAGTTTCATCAGCAACCTTGTTTGCCATCAGGAAAGTTAGACCACAGTCCTGTTTTACAGGGTCAAAGTGCTGAGGTCCTTTTTCTGCTTCTGCTTTCACTGCCCAGGTGGAGCAACCCTAGTACCTCTCTCTGCCTCTATGTCATCTGTAAATAGGATAATGTATCTTGGAAAACTACTCATACACTATTCAGAGTGTCTTGAGTGGGATAATCTGTCTAAAATTGCCCTTGAGTCCRCTGAATTACTGATTTTGCAAAAGCATTTCTATCAACTAAGGGCACACTGACTTCACCTGCTTTATTTCCAAAAGTAYCTGAGAAAAGAAAGGATGAAGAGTAGTCTTAAGTAGGTTTAAGTACCTTTACCCCAAAGCCTGGGAAGCAGGCTGTTACCCGCCCATCTCCAGCAGCCAAGGCATCCCCTTTCACTTTTTTAAGATTTTGTGGGGCCAAAGAAGAGCTGGATATGGATCCTCACCTCAAACACTTGTACCTTAACATCAAAGTGTTCCCAGAAAACAGATTTTCTGCTAAAATTCTGCTTTGAGAGAGTCTGCAAAACTCCCTTAGCCCTTCTCCGAAGCAGGGATTAGCTTTTCTTCTGTGGCCATGTGAAATGCATGGATTGCCATCCCTTCTGCAAGCCCATTGCAGGCTGCTGTTACTCACAAGTTGATGGTGCCAGTGGTGAGAGCAGTAACAATCCAGCGCAGGTCCAGGGTTTTGAAGGGGATCACAATCATGCTCACATTTTCTGCCAACTCTTTGTAGCTCTCGGGGTAAACAAAGTGGTGAGTGGTCTTGCTGCCAACATCTGATTCAAAGCCAGCAGTGGGGGCACGATTCATTCTACGGCCAGGAAAAAAAAAAAAAAAAAAAAAAAGGAGAGAGTGAGAAAGCAGAAGAGAAATTAGGCAGGAAGAAATGTGTTGCTTGAGGTGGCAGGAAAACAGGAAAAAACTACCATAATTAAGGTGAGTGATATATGCAGACTTGTCAGAGTATAAAGTCCCCAAGTATGCSGAAATGATCATTACCATACAGTATAAATGAAAATTAGGCTTTAGAGTGGGGATTCCTCCAACTGAGTGGGAAAGTCTGCAAATAAGGTGTTTCTCAGAGCAAGTTCTTGGGTCACTTTGGTAGCTGGTCAATAGAGACTGGCTCCATGAGAGCATGATTCCTTTATTCTGAAATTGCTTCACCTAGTAGGCAGAAAAATAGTACCCTGCAGTTCATCAACTAGATCTCCTGTAATTTCATTCTCACCTTGTCTGTGCAGATGTATTTCAATGACTAGGGAAGAGATAATAAACAACCTCATGTGTGATGAGAAACAGTAAATATTCCTTACAGTCCTTCCATAAAAAGGCACCAAAGCCACAARTACCTGGTCTGGCACTGACACTTTATTTACTCTTGGCTTACTTTATAGTATGCCTCCCAAAGYTGATAAATATACAGAGGGAATGAGGGGTCACTCCTAAATCCAGTCTGCTTTTATGTCAACTAGATCCAGCAACATGGTCTTTCAGTAATGCTGGAGTCAATGCATGAAGATCTGCTCAGGGCCCACCAAGACTCCATCAAAATGTTTTGGCCATTGGAGAAACCCTCAGTCTGGCTCTGAGCAAAATGAGGTTTCTCTGCAATCCAGTGGTCTCCTGCAGAGATACTAGCTTAGGTCCCAGCAGAAGTGTGAGGACTGCAAGGAAGGATATAGCTGATGACATGAGGAGCAGCAGCACTTATTGTCAGACAACATACAAGCTACTGATAACAGAGGAGGTAATATCTCCTGGCTGCAATATTGCAGCGCTCCTCCAAGTGAATTTAAGTTTCCTCTCTAAAGGGCAGTTATTAGCCTACCGCCCTGCAAGGACTTGTTATTGAGTTAGCCTCTTCTCTGCCATCTCCAGGGATCTGCATTGTTCAGTGCAGAAATACTCTAAAGGTCATGGTATTCACTATGTTTTTGTCTTGAGATTAGTCAGTTTGTGGTAAAAGTTGAAGGGCATCATTTAATTTGTGAGGACAAAAAGACAAAGGTAGCATCTAGGTTACAGCCTCACTCCTTGCCCTCGAGTCTGTACCTTCCTCACCCTTGGCAGGGCAGTGGCGTGGTGGAAGGCATTGTGCACATATAATCTAAGGAGAAAGATTGTTAGTTATTTCAGTCATGCAAATGGGTGGTAAAATAGTAAAACTGAAATGTTGTGTTTGCACACATGACAAAAGATGTCACCTCTGACTTCCTGGCTCTTAACCATGCTTGGCAGCATTGCCAAAGTACAAAGAAATAAACTTCAGGTCATGAAAGACTTTGTTGTTAGAGTAACATGTGGAAGTGTCACCTTCTTCTGCACAAGTTCCCACAGTAAACTTTGTGCCATTTCTTCAGACCTACTTTGAGCAGGGAAAGCTCAAAAGATTGCTGGAATAATGATCAGAAAGAGAAAGATGCAATTGCAAAACGAATTGGGAACAGGGATTTCTCTCTGTTCAAGGATTCATGGCTGTGGCAAAGGCAAGGTCGTAGTACTGAAATAAACATCTGAGTGTATTGCTTTTAATTTACCATTCCAAAAAATACCCTTTGAATCTAGAAAGACTTTTCTGTATAAGTCCTGAAATTTAGGCAAGGTAAGTAAAGCACAGATGTTCTTCAGCTGCCTCCCTTACAACTTGCAGCATTAAAGTACAAAGCTGTCCACATGAGTGAACCTTCATGCCCAGAGCTGCAGCAGATCTAAGAGCATGTCAGCTGCCTCTGCTTCTGGGAATGTATCTTTAGCCAAGGGTAGAGAAACAAATGATGGGGACAACCCCTTAAATTTATTCAGTGTGAACATTCAGGTGCCACCTAAAGCCACCCCAGAAACCCAGTGGCACAATGCGGCTTAACCATTCCGTTAGGGATGATTTCTCTTTGACTCACTGTCAACCTCTACAGACAGGTAGATACTGAAGTTTATCAAGTTGCTTCTGACGGTACAATCTCAGATACTGTGTTTCTAGTAGCAGTCCTTCCCTTCCTGGTCATCTGGCCTGTTCTGCATTGCTTCCTGAATTTTGCTTTACTGGTGACTACAGTGTGTACTACTACTGATGTGAAATGCGGCAAATGCTACTGGTCATGCTTAAGAAAGGTCCTCTGACAAGTCTGCAATGACAGATTTATTTGACATAGATATTCAGGGTAGTCTCTGTGTGCTGCCTAAAGGAACGTCTCCTTGGGATTTCAGTGRAACACAATATCACCCATTCATTGCCTCACAACAAAGAAGTGGTTATAGCCTTTATAAAGCTGCTGAAGCCATCCAGCTGCTTCCTAAAATCTTGCATGCCTACTTGTTCCTCTAAAATACTGATGTATCTTAAACAACGTGGGCATGTGGAGATGAGGCGGTACCTACTTACCTGAGCACAAAGTCATGGGAGTCAATGTCRTGGCCGTACTGAGACTGCCGAAGGTTGCCAGAGTTTCCCACGACGGCGCATCGTCTGCATGTGAAAACGTCCCGTTCCTGAAGTGGATCCCCATCTCCAGGAATAATTCCAAACAATTCCTTGAGAGTGTCATTGATATTCTTAGGACCTTTCTCTCCTTGCAATTTCTGTTGGGAAGAAAAGTCACTCTAGATTACCAAAGTAGATTTTCCATGAGAAAAATGTAGCTTCARTGGTCTCCTCAAAGATCATTCTTGCTCATTTAACTGCAGACACTGCATCTCCTGTGATATGTGTTATAAGGCTTCATGATGGTAATAGCAGTGTGAAGAAAGGAAGACTTTTACTATCATTCCTTTTTTCTTCTGTTTTCTCAGATTCTCTCACCTCCTCATTCTCTATGGTGGAAAAGATCACACATTCTCCCCAAGCAATGGAACCTAGCCAAACAGATGTTCTTCTGGTTTCTAAAAGCCTAATTCAATCCAGATATATGCTGCTAGGGCGTGTGTAAGATTTCCTTTTATTCTCATAGAAAGGGCAGAAAAATATCAGGGAAATGGATGGAGCACCGAAGAGGGGCAGAGCAATCTAAGGTAGCCATGTACCCTCCTCCTGCAACTCTTGGTGAATGTCAGAAGTGGGAAATGTCACTGCTGCTATTCTGGACCATGGAGAAACCATCTGCTAGTGGAACAGCAACCTGCAGTAGAGTGGAGTTAGCCCTGAGGGCTGGAGAACTACAACTATCTAAAATATTACCCAGGATGAAGAAAACCACCCCGGACCTAGATCATTGTGCCTGTTGCCATGGAGGGAAAGTCTTTTGTAGAAGCTCTGTGGTGCATGGTGGGAACAATGGTTGGATTTGGAAGGAGCTGAGCGGAAAGGTAGGTGATGATGAGGCACTCCCTGCCTGGGGCTCTGCTCTCCGAGGGCTCCGACATGGCTTTGGAGCGCTGGCGAGATCACAACAACACTGCCCATTCTTCTTGGTGCTATTTGCTTGCAAGGAGACCCAAAGGGAGATTGGTTTTTGATGTAACAACTGCCAAAAGTCTCTGCACTAAGAGCAGGGCAATGAGGGATAGGGAAGGAGGGAACAAGGAAGAATCCCTTTTCCCATGACTCCTAACAACACCCCTGGGGCATCTGGCTTTGGTTTCTGATCCACTTGTCTTACCTGCACCAGTGTATTAGTTTACCCCACTGTTTTTCTTTTTCACTCATGCAAAGACACACGCAAGCACTCACAGACACAACCCTGTATTTTTTGTTTGCTTGCTTGATTAGCAAAATACTGTGCCGCCTCTTTGCAGACCCACGCAAAGCAACCATGCTTGCACTGAACTGGACAGGTCTGTGAAGTACAAGACAACACTGAAGCCAAGGACTGAGAACAAAGGAGCCAAAGAAAGGCGGCATACAAAGACCTAATCTTCTTGCTAATCCTTGCTAACCTATATGCTTACACACAGCCTCCATAAGATGATCTTGTATTTAACGAAATCACAAAACCCTCTCTGGGATCAAGTTATTAACCAGCTTTTATTATTTGGGTTCTTCCTTCCTCCCCAGTAGCTAATACCAAACACCACTAGAAACAAAAGCATGGAAGCATGGGTGACTCCACASCCAGAAACAAGAGCTTGGAGCATGGGTTACTCCACAGCCCTGAGCTGGTTGGGCAGCACTGAGAACTGCCACCAATCGATCGTGGTCACACAGAAGTAATCACTGCATTCTTTCATGGCAGTTACGTTMAAAAAAGAGCACGTCACTCCTTTCCTTAATTTCTTTCCTTTCACCCACCCTGAGGGCAGCACAACAGAAAAGCCAGGTCAAGTAACCGAACGGCTGTGTTCATATCAAGAACCAATTAAGATACCCTGATAAGCACTGCCAACATTAGCACAAAGGTTGGCCACCCATTTCAGATGGAGAAGTAGGAGGCTGGGAGATTACAGTGTGGACTGGGGAGCTTGATGTGGTACTCCTGGCACCAACATAAAGAGCAGCAACTTAAAAATTCAGCAAGGCAAAATTCTCATCACAGGTGCCTTATCTGCCATGTGTCGTCTTTCTGCCTCAGTTTCCAYCACAAAAGCATGTCAGTATTCAGTGAAGTGCTCAATTACTTCAGTTGAAAGCATTATCTTCTTCTAAGTTTGTGTGTGGAATGCAAATATGTTTGYATATCTAAACTCTGGAGAATTTTTCATAAATCCAACTTATCCATCTTATTTTCAGAGCTACTTGGAATATATCAAGAACATTTAAGGTTAGAAGACCTAATCCTGCATCCTTCAAAATAAATGGACACGCTCAGAGATGTCACAGGCTGCAGGATCAGGCTTATAATGCAGAAAATCCCAAGATTTTTCGAAAATACKCTCGAGTTATCTGAACACATACAGGCATATGTGCATGCACACTTTCTCTCCATAAGGTTTAACTGATTTTAACTGTCTTTGCATATATATGTATGAAAAAAGCATCAAACACAGCCCAAGACATTTTAAGGAACAGAATTGTTCTAGAAAAAATAATTCTTGAATTGATTTTCCCTGAGAAAAATCAGATGAAGTTAATTTTCAGAACTTCTAAGCTCCTGAGCACTTCTTCTGAAGTAAAATTGCTCTCTCAACCATGATGATGATGATAATAATAATAATAATAATAATAATAATAATATCATTATCTGAAAGAAATTGGAGTATTTACCCCTTTCTTTTTGATGAATTAAAATGGTAAGAAACATTGCCCTGGACTGTCACCTCCGTTTACAGAGAACTGGGATGTGAATTTTCTCTCTGTTGTACTGTTACCAATGTAGAGTAAACCAAGTTTATCAAAACGCCGCTAATGAGAAARCAGGACACCACTTCCCTGGGATCCCAGAAGAGTAGGACATCATTGTGTATGCTAGAAATTCCCTCAAAGACCTTGAAGAAGATGGGGATATTATTGTGCTGAATGCTAAATGTGCACACAATAAGAAACCAGTCACTAACTCCCCTATTAACAGTGCTTTGTTTCCACTTCCTCCGTCRTTATCTGATTGGACCACACTTCCCAAGCTTAATCTTCAATGAAACCTGATTAGTATTTAAAATTTCAGCAGAGCTGGCAAATAGGATAGCTAAGTCCAAAACAGGTAATTTTTAMAACTGTAGACTCGATGTGCTGCCAGCTCTTTATTGCACAACATTTATTGACACATTTTAAAAAGTTGATTTTGATAAGTGTCATAATTAGAAGACAATTCCCCCTTTCCCACACCATATTTTCCTTTTTTTTTTTTTTTTGAATAAAGTGGCAATTTGATTACTATTACTATTTTTGAATTATTTTTGAGACACATGGTTTGGCAGTGTGTCAACAGTGTGCCACGTGGCAGGGATATGCACGCATATGCTGGGGATATATGTGCTCGGCACCCAACTCTTTCTATGGCATTGTTAAAAGACAAAAAAAAAGAAAAAGAAAAGGAATCCAGACCAGGGGGAACTTCCTAATCTTCCTAGGGAAGACAAACTGTCCTTTCCTCCCAACCCCACAAATAACTCAAACATCTCACTTCACGTCTAAAACTCTACCAGAGTGACAACTGATTTTCTACTCCACTCTTTAGCTGCATTACTATTAACAGCTATTTTGGTATCTTCTTAATAAAAGAGATAGAAGAAAAAAAAAAAGAGTTTAAGAGTTTATTCATTTCCTTTCTTTATGTCTGAGCAGATTCCTGAGGAAAAGCTTCCTGCTCATTCTCATACCACTGTGCGTGCACATATACCAATGATGAGCAGGGACCCCATGATTTTTTGCTYTTATAAACTCCTTGGAATGCTTTCCAAGATCATCAGCTTGCCAGCGATCATCAAGAAGCCATAACCATCATATGTCTAATGAGTATCAGAAGGGGASGCTGCAGAATTTATAAATTCAGCCAACACTGCCCAAAATTAATTGCTTGGAGTGGGGAAGAAACAGCTAATGGTTAGAAGGAAAGCTCAGAATCTTATTAATAAAGTGTGTCCCCGAAATTCCGAATTGCTAGCATGAAGACATCATCCTGCTTGGTAGCTGGCAAGCATCAGCATYGGCACAAGGATGGGCTTTGAACAGGACATCCTTCTGCAACATGGCCTGGCCAGTGCAGCCTTGAGGAGTTTGCAGACTAAATATAAAAAACTGGTGGAGGCGGTTGCATTGGTACACCATTTTTGTGGCTTTCCTAYTTTTTTTTTTAATTTTTTCTTTTTTGGTGGTTTTAAAAGATAAAGAGGGAATAAAGCCCCATGAGACTCTCTTTTGCGGAGCGACTAATTGCATTAGGGAAGCAGCTCTGAGGAATGAGTGCCCATGCAGTCCTTCCCTGCTAGAAAACATTGTACAAAGATTAATCCTCGCTGCAGTCTGGCGGGGCAAACCCAGGTAATCTCCATTTTGCAGGCTGAAGGAGAGGTTAGAAGGAGACTATCAATTTTAAAAAATGCCTCCTTGGCYTGAAAAGGATGACATTATTATTGTGATACTTAATGGCCTGCAATTACTCCAAATCAGAGAGATTAAGGTGAGAAATATAGTGACTTATAGGTGTTTAGGTTGGCTTTGTTTTATGATTTGTGCCTGTTAAATAACACTTCTTCTCAAATATGAGCATAATGTCCACATATTATGCAAATAACATGCAATAATAGGCATAGGGCAAATGATGCTATTTGTAAATYATACTGTTGGCTGTTGCTGGTTCTCATTCTCACTTATATGGGTGATACAGGCCAACCCCAGGCTGTCCTGCCAGCTCTGCATGCCCATATGTCCAGCTTCAGGATGCCTGCGGCTTGGCAGAGGACTCAGGGACACCTGAGCTTGGGTTGCCTCCAAACCCACGCACTAATACTGAAGGCAATAGGTCATGCTAAAGGGTAGTGCAAGATCAAGTGTTCATTCTCAGAATATCCAAGGCTTATCCATGTGATAAACAAGTGATGGGCTTGTCCAAGTGTAGGGTAGTGTAGGCGCAGATGACTGAGCCTGAACTTTTCAGGATGTCCAAAGCTTGTCTAAGTGTTATCGACCTACACTGACAAGTTGTACCGACACTCATTTGGGCATTTGGGCTCTCTTGATACTACCTTCCTAAAGGGAACATGCTCCCTCCAAGGTGTTGGGAAGAAAACCGTTGCTTTCYCTTCAGGAATAAAGAGAATCCTTCAAGAGAACATCCTAGATCTAGAGAAAATGTCTTGTGATCAAAGTACTTCGGCAAAGTATCTACAATAAGCATTGAAAAGAAATGACTCACCTCACAAGTGACCAGGACAATGTCTTAAAAATAAGTGTACTTTTCATGACTTCCCTAATGCCTGCATTGGGGGTGCTATTTTRTGTCTGCCTAGTTATTAAATCTCTAAGCTACGTATTATATTTTTTCCCTACAACTATGAAGACTGAATAAGGACTGAAAGGTCTCCAGGATCACAAGGATTAAAAACTAACTAACTTTAAACTAGCAGGATGACAGATTATCAGAAAATCATATGACACCAAGAGCTGGACTTTTGCTCTAAAAATACAAATAAATAAAAAGCCAAACCCTCAAGTATGATAARACTCAAGATAAAAGTTGTTACGCTGTGGTAGTTTATGAACAATATGCTTTAGATAAGATTACTAGGAAACTCTGAGTTTGATTTTACTTATCAAAGTTTTAATCCATCAACTTTTACAACTTTTACAAGAGCAAACTTTGATCTTTTATTTTTTTTAATGTTTACTGACCACCAAAATAAAAACAACTTAGAGCAAACCGTCAAAAGCATAAATAAATGCTATACAGTRTTATAACACACAGTTCTTCTACTGTTTCCTTATATACAGATTATTGGATTTGGTGGACGTGTCCATAGCATTTGTGTTGTGGGACAACAATGAACGAAACGGCAGGTGAGTCAGCCCAGGGAGGTGGGAGAGAAAATACAAACAGAAAAGAATTGCATCACATACCATAATGTGCCAACTTCCAGAACACTGAGACTTTCACAGTCCTTGAATGTGAAGACAGAGAGACAAGGAGGAGGAGAAGGAAAAGAAGAATGAGAAGGAGAGAAAGGGGTGAGGATGAGTGAGAGGAGAGAAAGGAGAGGAGAGAGAAAGGCAGGAAGAAGGGAAGGAAGGAGAAAGTGCAAAATAAGGAGGGAAGGAGAGAAGGAGGGAAGGAAAAAATAGAGAAAGAGAAGAAARGAAAGAAGGAAGGAAATAAAGAAAAAAGAAAGGAAGAAAGGRAATAACGGAAGAAAAGAGGGAAGGCAGAAGGCAATAGAAAAGTAAGCTAGCTCAGTATGGTCCACAGCATTATAACTGAAAAGAGGAAGCCACAAAAACACAGAGCAAACCACAGGGGTGTAACTAGGAGGTGAATCTCAATCATTAGGTGTTACCTCAGTAAAGTAATACAGGACTAGATTTTTAGCTGGGCAGATTTAAGCAGAGAAGTAAGTAAAGCCGTAACAACAGCCCCCTTTGCTTCTGTGAACAAGAACAACAAGCAGACTAACCGTTGCCCATCTGCAGCCCATCTTGTGGAGGAAGCCCTGCAGTGTGCTTCCGAAAAAGCTAATTTATGGTCTGTAGGGTCTGGGCTTTCTCATCCATTTTATCTACTTTTCCACACAAAAGGCCAAGTCCTACCATGCTGTAACGGCTTAAAGCAGATCATTTCCAAACACACTATGAAGTTGTTGGTCAGCAACTTGGAATTGGTCGGTTGCAAGTGGGTGAGTCCACGACCTCTCTTTAGACCCAAATAATGCTTCTTCTCAAAGCCCTGCCCTTGGCTTCTGGAGGGGAGTGGAGGGACGAGTGCTCCCCCTAGGAGGGGAGGGACGAGTGCTTGGGATTATTGGGCATAATCCTTGCACAAGTCTTATTCTCACATAGAGGAAAAGGGTTAATGAGTGCTGAGAGCAGGACCAGGTTGGTGAAGGGCCTCTGTCTACATTCAGTCCAAACATAACATGTGAGTTCCCTCAATAAGAAAGTTGGAGGGCTGCAATAAATAGCTCCTATGCAGCTGTGTCAGTCTCATAATGAAACTTCCATGCTGTTTGAAGTCAGCTCCTCCAACCTAGCAAACAGTCCTTCCTTCCCCAAAATGAAATGGAAGCAACAACTAGCAATCTCAGATCCCCTCAGGGCTTCTTTTCTTAGGCACAAATATAGCCCAAAAAAAGTCAGACAGTATTGAACTGGTGGAACAAAGGACAGTAAGTGACATGAGGAAACTTTCAGTTACTACTAATAAAAATTTCAGGGTCACTTAGGACAAGAACAATAATGAACAAGCTCTAGTAGAGCAAAAAGGGGGTGCAGTGACGATGCTCGTTGGGGTTATTTACTGTAGAAACTGTAATAACTGATTTGAGGTCATGTACAGCCACATGCATTTCATTCGAATTAAGTTACAATGAGGAGTTGAGTCTACCTAATGTGTTATTACCCAGCATTGTCTACCAGTGGAAAAGGGGCAACTTTTCCATTTACAGCAGATCAGGGCAAGTATTTTTAATGAGTAGCTAATTTCCCATACACATCGCAGTTCTGGGAGGCACTGAAATGCTACACATATGTGGCATGAAGGTGAATTCTGTCTAGAAAGAAAAGAAGGTGGAGAAAGTGTACAAATCTTAGAAGATTTATTTGCACCACCTTAGGAAGAAAAGTTGCTTTGATTTTCATTTTTTTTTTTTTTTTTCTGAAATAATGTATTCCCTTTGAATTTGACCTGGATTTAAAAGATGAATGAAAATACTAAAAATAGACTTTAGGGTTAGACAGCCTGAAAAGTAATTGACAACTTCAATATATATTAAAAAAAAAAAAAGAAAAAAAAAAGAAAAAAGATATCCTTGCATCTGTACTGGAAATTTTCTTTTTCACACAGCTGTAAAAGAAACTACCCTGACCCTCAAAAAAAGGCTGTTTTGGGTTGATCTGAATTGAACTTTTTTTTTTTTTCAGTTGCACAAGTAGGATAATCTGAAATTCAGACTTCCCTATTGAAAGTTGTCTGTGTTCTTTTTTTAACACTCTTGAGCCATAAATTTACATCAAAATTCAGTCTGAGGGCTGAAGTCTGCAGACTTCAACTCCACTTTGCCCTGTGGGACAAGCCCTCAGGGGAGACCTCCCTTGCCAGAGACCATGGAGAAGCGTCTGGGGGCAGCAAGAATTAAAATAAAACCAAAACATCTCCAAACCAACCACAGTAACTGGAAATATGAATCAGGGTCAATGGGAAGTTGAAAGAATCCAACAGTCGGAATATGCGAGACTAATAGCAAAAAAGTGGGTTTTGTTATAAAATGAAGATATCAGCGAGGCTGCAAACACTGAAAGTAGAGTTAGCCGGTGGCTCTCTTTTGCTAGTGGATGCAAACATTCATCCAATGCCTGAGACCTCTTCCAAAACCCGAAGCCACCACTCCTCAGCAACCCATTCCTGCAATACCCAACTCGAACATGCCACAGACCTGCTTTACAGCATCAGRCAGAACACAGACCGTGCTTACACAAGTAGAGCTGATTGTTCTGGGGTTAATCCTGCTAATTATTTACATATCTTGTAGCAGGGAGAGCCCCAGGTGAATTACACGCTTCACAGCACTTGCTTTCTTAGCTGTTTGGACAGCACAGATCCCCTTTTTACCTTTTGAAGCGAAATAAGCAGGGTTTCAAATTTTAATCTTTTAAAGAGGAGGGAGAAATAAAAAGAAAAGCTACATTGACATTTGAAAACTCTGGATTTGCTTCTTACTCTCCCAGGAACTTTTCCGGGCTTTCTGGRCATTATTGTGGATTGCAATTCCTTGTAAGCTCAACAGCAGCAATGACACCCACTCTCCTCCATCTCTGCCTGCTTTCTTAGCTGAGATTGCAACAGTTTTTGGGGGAAAATATCTCCCAGAGCCCTGGGAGCACCGTACTGGGGTCACACTCAGGCACTTACCAGCCACCACCTGTAACTGTCTTCTGGGATCAAGGCATCCCGTGAGGTCAGGAAAGGTTGCATAGTTTGGTTAAACCTCTGATCAAACCAGAGGGAATGTCCTCGCTCCGAAATACATGTGGTGCAGCTGCACGGTCTTCTGGGGTATTTGATGAGTTTCCTGAATTGCTCAGAGAACTGCATGATGATGTGCTTAAGGTCCCAGGTGGTCATGGTCACCTGGTGCTTGTAGTTGAACAGGAATGATGTTATCATGATGAGCAGAAAGGCGAACGTAAACATTTTCACGTTCCTTTTCCTTACAGCAACCATCTTTCCAGCCCCAGGTCTGCCGTCCTGACTGCCAAAAGCCAATGTAGGGTCCAAAGTAAGGCAAAAAGGAAATGTTGCTGGGCTTTTGGGAATGCTGGCCTGTTAGCACCAAGGACTTAGGGTGAATATACCCATCCTCAAACCTCTGTCTGTGGGGGAAGAAGTTTTGTTTTCCCCAGGTGGACTTAAAAAAAGGCAAAGCTGGGTGTTTCAGTGAAAACTCATCCTTTTCCTTCCACAGTTCAGAACATTTAGAGGTGGGAAATACCAACATTCAAAATCAGGTTTTCCATGTGGGACCAAGACAAATTAAAGGAATCAGATTGTGGGAAGAATAGATTTGTTTTGTTTTGTTTTGTTTTGTTTTTTTTCCAAAAAGCTGGTTTGCAGAGGATTAGATCATCCTGGCATACATATTCCAGCAGAGAGAGATGCTTTGATGTTCATTGAATCCAAGGAGAGCAGTTTGTAGCCTGTAGACACACATGAACAAAGAAAAGGAAAGAAAAAAAAAAAGTCAGAGAGTTTTCCACATTTCACAGCTTACCTTCTATACTTTTCTCTCCTCACGGCAAAACTTCTTACCACCCCAGAGCCTTCAGAACAGAAGTATCCACAGTTTCTGCTGTGGGATTTGCATAGCGAGAAGTTTCACAGCGAGATTTCGAAAAGCGCAGAGCATCGACCTGTGGACATGCAGTCCCCGTGTATTGAATTAGCTGCAGCTTTCTAGCTGTATTTGAATTACAGTTTGCAGGCGTTTCAATGGCAGTGAGTCAGCTTATTCCCTTAGGCTGACCTTGATAACCACAAAATACACAACGTGTTCATAACTCAAACCAGAGGAACAAAAAAGCATTGGGCAAAGGAGGGAGGAGGAGAGGAAGAGAAATCACTTCCTTTCCCTTCCTCCTGCAATGGGTGTTATTTATTAGGGATCATGGCTGGATCGGTGAAGCAGCAAACGGCAAGAAAGAATGGTTCATGAGTTCATGGAAAACTGTGGAAGATGAAGCTTAAACGGTGGGTTTTGGGATGGATTTCGGCTGTTTCCTGTACTGCTGCCCAGGAAGGCTAGATAAGGCGAGCTTTCCATCCCAAGGAGGCCCCACGGGATGCTGAACCGGGCAGAGACCATGAGTGATGCTGTGCCCAGACCAGGGGCGAGCAGCGAGACCGGAGCAATGATTTAAACAAGCCAACAAGTTTCTGAAAGCTGAAAAGTGCATTGTTTCCCTACTGCAGTGCAACTGTGGGGAAAAAAAGGCACTGCGTTTATTCTTGTTTTATTTTTAATTGAGAACCTTCTTCAGAAAATTGAGATTTTTCTTCAGAAAACKGAGAATTTTCCTCAGAAAACTGAAAAGCTGTTGTTTAAATTACACAGTTATTTAAAAATAGAAATAATAAAGAAGACACACATCAGTAGATCTAGTGGATTGGCATCTCTAGTGAAAAACACATCTGCCAAAACACATGTGGTTTCCTGAAAAAGCAAAAATCCCAGCACACAAAGCCTCCTCCACAGGCCTTTCCAGAGGCTCCGGGTGATTGGGGAGGAGTTGCCCAAGGTCGCACTGCATTTCAAAAGGACTTGCTGTGACATTTTAGAGATAGCCAGAGAATGGTCCCGAGCACATTGCCCTTGCTAGTGGGGATGCAGTCACTATCCTAAACAAAAATACAGCCTCTAAACACAAAAAAAAAATGATGCCAACTCCCCAAAGCAGAGGCTTCATTATAGGCTGGGTAATTTAAGAGTTGTGATGCCAGCACATCAAACATTACTGCTGCTAATGCTCAGCCAGTTCGCTCCATGTAGGCATTAAGTCTTGTTCTTTTGCTGTTTTTTTAAGTGCAGGAAGGATGGGGATTAAATAGTTTTTTATGGGAAAGCCTATAAAATGAGCATTGTTTATATAGGAATGCTTTTCAGGCCTCCACGGTAAACACAGGCTTCATTGCATTTTTTTTTTTTAAATTGAGATCAAATATATATTTAGAATTTGTGAAAAAAAAAAAAAGGAAAAGGAAAATATTGTTTACACAGTGCAGTGTAGGGTCTGCAAACACCTAATCATAGCTGCTTTATAGCACATGATGGCAAGGTGAGAAACCAGAACTCTTGTGGCCTTTTCCCATTGCGTAAACATACACAGGATATTCTGCTTTAATTCTTGCTATTTACAGTTTCCTATGAATGTTCATTTTCCTACAGACACTGATATCAAATATCTATCTATATATATACATACATATATTTATAACTATACACATATATATATTTATCCTGACAGAACAGTTTGGGGTACTATAAATAGGATTTAGGTTTGGGGGCAAAGGCATGTCAAAATGAACAGAAAATGTTTTCATTGAGTCTAATGCCCTTTAGACCAAGCTTGTTCTTTTTCAACTTCTGACTTTACCAGCTGAACCCAATGCAGGTGTCACTATCTCTCCTCCTGCAGTCCTCCTAGGTTGGTGCCACCAGCCTGGCTTTGGGGAGTTTGCTTTGGCTCAGACACGAGTCATTTATGGTGACTTCAGGTATTAGACTTAAATGACTTGCCACTCCTCAGACGAGCTACAGAGAGTTAAGTGGAGTTTAAATACATTGAGTTTGCTATAGCCAGCTCAGTTGAGGCAAGTAATGCCTCAGGTTAAATGATCTGAAGGGATTGGGCACTGAAGGTCTTATCTCCAACCAGGGTTTCACCTCCTGCCTTTTTATTTCCTCCTCCTTCCCACCTACACCTTGTCCTTGGGAGGGGGATCTCCATAACGTGCCGCGGTAGCTTTTAACTTCTGCCAACTCGGGGTATCCAGTGACATGCAATGTGAGTAAAATATAAAATCACATTTCCCAGGCAAGAATATAGAAGGAGAGGTCTTCTGTGCCATTCTTCAGGGGTAGGAGTGGTTCCAATGAGATTTTATGGTCATAAAGGAATGAAGGCTCTAGTCTTTTCTCTACATTTTTTGAACTGAAATAAAATATCCCAAGATCAATCCATTGTGATTGATTGTCTTCATTGTCACAGATATGAGAGAAAGAAGAGAAGGAACAGAAAGACTTTTTTTTTTTTTTTCAGGGTAGACCTTTACTGTATTGTGCACTCAAAATTTGAAGAATGTACTTGGACTTGTGCCAGTTATACAATTAACAGACAAAGATGAAAACACACCAATTCAATGGACCAATATAAAGACATTCTTCACACCTTCAAGAAATAAAACATTTGACAAATTCATTCAAAAATGCAACGGCTTACTGAGCCATGGTAGTGGTGGGAATATTTGTGTGTCATTGCAAATCTAGTCAGGCACAGGTAATTTCATTGAAAATTCACAGTTTCAAAAAAATTTAATTCAACAATGAATGACAGAAAATGATCTGAGCTAACCAAGGGGTGTTTTGTTGAGGTCAAATCTAAATGCTTCATGTTGATAAAAGTCAAATCGTTCCTTGACAACTTTTATTTGCTTTTAAATATGCAGACTTTTTGAAGAAGTTATTTTTAAACAGAAGATAGGAACTTTTCATTCTCAAGATGTTACATGAGAATATTTAAAATCAGTAGAATGCTTCATTTCCTTTTTTTTTTTTTTTTTTAAGGTGGGTTTCAGACAAAAAGCATGACCCAGCTATTCATAAACACTGGCAAAAAATCACAGTGCTTTCCTCCCTCCCCCCAGTTGTAATATAGTCACACTACAGTAGAGTTTGACCTCTTTTTGATGCCTGCTTTGCTAGAAGATAAGTACCCTGTATTAGCACCCCTTACAGGAGAAACTCGCTAGCTTTTGCTAGACGCTGACTGTTCAGGATCCCAGCGCTCCTGCTGGCCTTGCATTTGCTACACACAGTAAAATCGAGGCGTAAAACACATTCCTCTAGTTCAACATCACCAGCATTTTGCAGACTCAGTACATGGAACAGAGCAGCACCTAGGCAACAGGGACCAGCATCCCCCTTATGGAGGTATCACTAGCATTCCACCCATTGCAACACTTGAGTAATTCAACATTTGTTTCCAAAGCTTCATACTTGGGAACTGCTTCCCCATCCTCCTCTGTGCACATCACCCTCTTGAAGACCAGTGCAGGATAAGCCAACCACAGCTTACTCACATACTCACTACAGACAGTCATCACACAACCCATGGTATTTTGCACAYGGAAAATGTATACGCGACAAGGAGAAGAGATCTGCTGCACTTTTCCTTCAGCAGATTGTTCTGTGCTAGAGACCTCCCTGGCAGTACTGTAAATGCTCTGCGTTAGAAGCACAACTTGGCTCGCTTGACCCAACCCCACAACCCCCAAATACTGACTAGTTTTCTAGTGTAGCTAAACCGCTTGTGCAAACACCAGATTTGTCATTATAAAGTCTTGAGGAAAAACAAACTGTATTTCCTCAAGGGGGAAAGTGTCTTGTTCCTGCTGAGACTCCCTCCCAAATACATTCCWGCTGAGTAACTCCTTGAGCAACACTGGGTCACACAACCCTGGCCAGTGAGGCATTAAGAGGACAGGATGTTAAATCTTGCTTTTACTGCACCCGTTGAAGGTCCAGAGCAGTCTTGGAAGATGTCATCCCAGTGGAGTGACAAAAAAAAGTCCATCCCTGCAAAAACATGCATAAATTTCTACCTGGGTTCTGTGCTTGGGTCTGGAGAGGCACAACGGATGGGACTGTTTTACTCAAAACCACAAGCTTGTCTGCCTTGCTCCGGCTCATTGCTGGCTACTTTTCACTCCTCGTCCCATGCAGTAGCTGGCTGACATTTAGAAAGAAACACTTCACTGGTCTGACACCTTGCCACAGACCTCTGAGCGTAAGACTCTCACTACATGAGATAAATTGTGCAATTATGAGACACTGCTGCAACCCTTCAGACTTTAAAAACACAGAGCAGGAACATGAATCTCCCTGAGCCAGACACYACAGGGAGCCCTAGAAAGCCTTTGGTCCACCTCTTCTGGCTGCAGGTGATCAGTCTCACAGGCTCTTGAACCCTAYGAGACGGCTGTAGATGTGAGGGGATGCTGTGTACACCACTACCCAGTGTAGGCTGCTGTCTCTAGGACTTCTGCCTTTTCAYGGCGTGACTGCCCAAGTGTCACTGACCACACAGAGCTCTGTCCTTCTTAGAAACCAAAAGCCACCAAAGGATGCAATTTCAGAAAATTATGTGACCAGCTGCCATATAACCTGCCTCTTTTCCACTGATAACTTCATTAAAAGTTATTTTTATTTCCACTGATAACTTCATTAAAACCTGAGTGGATTGTGTTCCTCAGAGCTAACCAGCTCCCGTCTCATTTTCCTCTTCATCTTCTCGGATCTGGCTTGTTATGGAGGAAGACAAAGGCGGTGGTGGTATGTGTGCCATGGTCATGGTAAAGCAGCTCCTAGTCCAGCCTTCCTTTTAATCAGTGAGAAAATTACTTGTATATTTTCTGTCTCATT